TCCGAGCGCGTTCACTTGTAACATATTATTGTATTTGCTCTTAGTTTTAAAAAAATATCTTTTAAAAACAGTATTAAATTAAATTTACAATTTGTAATTTTGTAAAAAATTAATAATTGTTAATTAATAAATAGCTTAGCTTCACTTGCCTTTAATTATTATAAGTAATTCAATTCTTATGAAGATATGCTTGCCAGAAGTTTTTTTTTCAATATTAAAACTTTAAATACAAAGCGCCTTCCCGGTCCGAGTGTTAAGATGTTGAACTACTATCGAATATACATTCAATTAAATTGAATTAATATTTCAGAAATAAATTGAGAGCCGATGAAATTATATAAGTTTATTACAGTTTTTTAAGATTTGGGGGGATTATTTGTTTCAGATTGATTGTGTGAATCCGATAATTTCATCGGCTCTCAATTTATTTTAAGGTTGATATGGAAGTAACTACCGCTGTATTAATAAAATGTTTACTGTTACAACGTGCAATGAATTACCACGAGGAAATGCTGTTTGCCTTTGTATCGTCGTTCTATAGAATTGTACAAAGAGAATAAGTGATAGTCCAGCATGATTAATTATTTCTACCTAAATTATACGTTGACTGCTTTCATAATTGGGTATAATAGCAAGCCTGATAAGTCATGCAATTCATAAATAATTCGCGCATTTGATAAAAGCGGTGCGATTCGATTGATTACAAACCCGTGTTATGTAATACTATAATTTCTAGAGAACCATGGAGAGAACTATGGAATTTCTCTCAAATTAGAGGAGGCCATCTAGTATTGCGAAAGCACCTCAACTTATGCGACTCAAACGTGCAACCAGGAGAAAGCATTCAGATGGCATATTGTATACCTCTGTGAATCATTAAGCGATAACAAATAAGTTTCGTAAATAAGTGATCCTTACGTCTTTTCAAAAGAAAATCCGACATTAATTCCTGACATAAACATTATAAATTACATTTTTTATTTACAAAAATTTATTGCTTTTAATTAATTTGTAAAGTACATAATTTTATAATTTAAATACAAGTGATTATTATCCATATTTGAATCTCTGTCAAATCTAATTAAATTATTGATTAAATTACTTAATGAGTTTTTAACTAACTACGTTAATTGAAATGAAGTAAAAGTGAGAAATTGTACTCATAAGAAAGGTATAAAAAATCAGACAATCTTTATCTTCATAGAGTATTATCGAGTTCTTTATGACGCTCGGTTCTTCAGGTAGAAAAAAAATGATAGAACGAGGAACGATCGCACCGAATTTTCATTTGAGGGTGAGTCTATCAATTGTCTACTTTCTGGGTACGTGGCCGCCAGTTACGGGTAAATTCCGATTACCGTATCTACTTTACACCATCTGTAGCTTCACTTTCATCCTGGGTATCTTGCTCTCCGCCGAAATAGCGAATGTTCTCATAAACTGGGGAGATATGTCGAAACTCGCCGCGGTTATGACTTTACTAATGACGAATTGCACCCATGCTTCGAAGGTAACTACAATTATCTTAAAATTATCTAGAGTCCGATCGAAATTTCGGTTTCAGTTTCGGCCAGTTTCGGTCAAAAATTTGGATTCCAGTTTGATTTCAAATTCGGCCGAAATTAAGAGAAAATGTCGATGGGTAAACCAAACTATACAAGTTGCAACGCACTGCTCCAAAAACAACTGTTCAATTTTAATTATTAACTGAATACAAAAATCTATGTGATTCGAGCGATCAGCAAAAGGCAAGCGACAGCAAAAAAATTATTCGCGGTAGCCCTCTGTACGGACCGTAGCCTTTCAATTCGAATTCGGCACTGCTATTCGCTCGAGATCACGTTATCGGGAATCGGCGGCCTTACAGAATTTCTATGCTTGTTTCACCGGCAACTCTTTCCTTTCGGTCCTTCCGTTAGCTCCCTTCAACTCGGTTCATTCTGAGGCTCGGTGACGCTACTCGCACGGATGCTCGCTTTGTCGTGAGTCCTCTAACAGTCTATCTATGGCTCGTGTTACAACTAGCCACAACGCAAGTGAAGTGATTTCGGCAGGCTCCGGCGGGGGATGCACAGGTCGCGCTGCTTTTCGGAAGCAAGGCCTCACGGCGCCTGATTGGCCAATAGCGGCGCCGCGCGACAAAAATAACACAGGAAGAGTTTATGATTGCTACGAATGTTATTTTTAATTCAACATTTTTAGTTTTTAACGGTTCGTTCTATAAACAGATATATGGCACGCCGATGGGATTGCCTTTATTTCCTATCATAGCAGAAATAGTTTTGCAAGAAGAGCTTTGCTTTAGAAGAGCAAGTTATTGAGAGGTTGTCATTGCAATTGCCTTTATATTACAGATATGTGGATGACATTATCTTAGCAGCTCTATAGTCACAATTAAATTGCATATTAGATACTTTTAATTCTATGCATGAAAGGTTGCAATCGAGATTAATAATGACAACAAACTCAATTTTTTGAATGTCACAGTGATATTACATGACCATTTTATCATTTTTGACCGGTATTCAAAACCGACTTCATTGGATAGATATCTCGGCTTCCATTCGAACCATCCTATTTGTCATAAAAAAGATGTAATGTATGATATGGTGGACAGAATTTGTTTACTTTTCCATCCGCAATATCATCAAAAGAATTGGAAGATACCATAAGCATTCTTTTAGATAATGGCTATTCACTTGCTTTTATTTTTTCCGCAATTAGACAAAGGCTTAAATTCCATTGCTATCCCCACTCTGACACAAGGTTGCTTAATAAAAATCAAAAACATTTTATACAGTTTTAAAATTCATCTCTGAGAGCTTTATGCTTATAGCGCTTAACATATATTTTAAGACTGCATTCACTATACTTAACACTTTAAAGAAATTTATACATAGGACCGATTAGATCATTTCTCAAAACAGAGTATAGTTCATAAAATTGAATTTTAGATCGTGAGGCTAGCTACGTTGATCAGACAAAAAGAAGATTACAAATTAGAATAAATGAATATCTGATATTAACAAGAGAACAGGATCTCCATCAGTAATTTCTGACCATCGTACTAGCTTAATGAATTCAAATAGGAAAAGGTCGAAATTTTAGACAACAAACTTTTCTATAAAAAAGAATTATTTCTGAAATGGTCCAAAACAAAAGTATGGTTTGAATAGACACATATCGATCCGCTACCTGACGTATATCTACCCCTCATATCCTTTCTACGTCATTTCTATTACTATTCCCCTTGTTAGATGGCAGGATCTTTTAATTATCGAATGTTCTAGCATTACATCTCAGAATTCTAGTATTAAGATCCGTTTGATATCGCTGAATTTTATAAATGCATTTAGTACTCAATTTTTTTCAATTAATTTGGACGATCTAACGTTAATCAGCAGGTATTTATAATTTATTTTTGTTGTAACTTTTAATAATTGACCTTCAATTTCTGTAAAGTGAAATATAGTAAAATATAATGACACAATAATTTTTTGGTATCATTAATTATAATATAATGTTATAATATAATTATAATATAATGTATTATAATGTAAGGTAATAATGACGTTTATTATATATTGTAATTGCAAGAAGAACATGAAACATTTATACATTCTTTTTACATTGATGTCACTGTATCAACTTATTGCAAAATTTGAGAAGTTCACGGTATAACAGACATCATAAAATTATTATGTGACTTCTGGAATCGATTAACATCAAGTTCCGATGTGAAGCTACTTAAATCTAGACCGTATCTTGCCACAATTCTTCTTTCCAACATGCAAATACAACATGCGCTTTATATTTTAATTGTTAAACATCTTGCGTAGTTACTGGTAATTTTTAAATTCATTTTTTAACATTGAAAATGATCCGATAGAGGTCGAAATATCTGTATAAATTTTTAGATTGTTTATAATAATATTGTTACTTACATAATATCTTGAGTGGTTTATAGCTCTATATTATATATTGTTTAATTTATTTTTAAAAAAAGTATTTCAAGCTCAATTTCACAAGCTTTAAGACTGTTTATGTACATTTTTCACGTATAATACAATGAGTCACAAGCAAGTTATTCATTAAAATATATTACAATTTCAAGAAACTTATTTATATCTCGGTAATTATTCATTGTACAAAATTAACGAGGTTCAATAAA